GTATGTATGTATGTATGTATGTATGTATGTGTTTTTCAGAGGGTTAACAAGTGTGTTGTTCGGAAAACTAGGGTCTACTTTTGTATGCGCACTTGTTTTTTCGGAGTCGTGGTTTCCAACAACAGAACTGCCAGTATGTAGGGGATAGGAGTCAAGATGCTTCAGAAGATGCATGTTATTCTCCTTTGAGTACCCCTGGAGATCTCCCGTTGGTCGGGCCACCCTAGATCTTGCGACCCATTCGGGATCTCACAACGGTGCACTCGTTGAGACAAACCCGACTTCGTGGGCTTTTGGGGGCTGCCGGGGCCCAAAGAAACAAGAACTAAACTCTATTAGGGGATCCAAGGAGAGGGATGGTAGCTGGCACTTAGAAAGCTGCGGAACTTTGGGTCATGTGCATTTAAACCAGAAGAGGTGATGGAGAAGCACCTGTTCTGGATGATAAAGGTGGCAGCGGGTGGCGAGTTGTGCTTTCCCAGTGCCAGTCGGCCAAACCTTGCTCAAAAGTGAGCTTTTGACACCTGGGTAACAGTAGATGCTGCATGATGCTGCAACTCTCTTCCTCGGCGCACGCAGGCACCCGTGTCTCCACCCAAACTAGCAGGCACCACTGGGGGTATGGCTGGTATGGCCGCAGGGGGGCACGGCGTTTTTGGAGAAAGTTTGTATGGCCGCAAAAGGAGAGCTGCGCTTGTGCAGTTATGAGACACCTCAGACCACCTATATATCTCATGTGCACTTCATTCATTTGTTGCTGTATGGGGTGATATGGGGTGCCTTCTTCCAAGTCAAATTGTTATATAACTATTCCTATTATACTGGTAGAATAAGAATTCCTACCCAACTATTCCTATTATTAGGTGATATGGGGTGCTGTTGTTGTTCTATAACTATTCCTATTCAACCTACCCAACCAGCCCATGGTCGTGGCAATTCGGCCGTCCGAACCACATAGTGATGGCATGTGATCACCATTCACCTTCTGGGGTGGTTGGGTGACATAGAAGTTGTGGCATGTGATGGCCAAAACCCTCATCAATGGTGTGATGGCTTGTAGTGTTTTCAGTTTCTTCGAGGCGAACCCCCTGCTGGCGTCCTCAATTTGGAGACCCTGCAGCTCAGCTGGGAGAGCCACGGGCGACACACGGGCCGCTCCCCACGCCGAAGCGATCGCAACCGATGGCGGGCGAAGTGTTGAACCCTGAGAGGAGCACTATTGAAGCATATTGAAGCAACAGTTGAAGTTGTTCGTAGCATGTTGAAAGTTTTCAGGCCCCTTCACCTTCCACCCCAGACTTGCAACTTCAACAGACCTGGCCCTTGGTCGGTGGCTTTGATTTTGAGAGGAGGTTTGTTTTTTGGGGGAATCGGTTTTCCAATGCTCCGGGACGAACACCGATGGGATGGGAGTTCAGTCTATTGAAGCTTGTGCAGCTGTTCATGTGGCTGTGGCTGTTGCAAAACCATTGGAGCTTCAAGGCCAGGGTTGTGAAATCTTGTGACATGTTTGTTTTGGTTTGCGCGCTGAGCTCACAGTGGCGGAATAACATGCTCACTAGCTTCTCACATTATACATGTCATATCATGTCGTGTTTTGGATTTTGCAGAACCCTGAAAATGTTTGGGGTTCGGGGTTCGCTGCAATTTGTATGCGTCTCCATCTACTCCGTTTGAGCTTGTGCCATTTGCCTTGAGCTCTAGCCCTCAAGCAGACAGCAAAAAGAAACAACAGCTGGAGAAGAATCAAACAACTGACAGTGGAACTCGTTTGGTGAACTCTTTTCCCATCATGTCAAAAAGGCTTTTGGTTGATGCATTCGCTGACCTTCTTAGGCGATTGCCGGATGAAGCCTCTAGAAGTGCGGCGTTGGGAGCTTGGAAGACCGGTCACAACATTGAGTCATTGATCTATCCATGGGGGGTCAATGTACAGATAATGTATGATAATGTATTAATTTATGCCACTTCGATTTGTGACATGCTTATATTACTTATTCTTGATTGAGGGCTCATGCTTGACCATCTCCCGAATTTACGCAGAAGCAACCGCAGAAGCCTGTATCAAGATGTGTTTTTGTCGTGGTTTTGGAGGTTGAACGAATTCTCACTCACACCGACACTTCGAGAATCTCTCATCATGTTTTCAGACATTTGAGTGAACTGCAATTGTTGCACAACTTCCCTGGAACTCAACCCATGCATCCCTTAGATGCTGCAGCACATTAATCAGCAGACACTTATTTTTTCTTTGCTGACTCTGAAGCACTCAGAATGTGAGAGTGGTGAATCCATATGGCAAAATGGACAATCTTTTGCCCATAGCAGATTACCAGCATAGCCACAGCGTGCACCCCAAAAACGCATTTTGCATCTCGCTGAATCTCGCTGCAAGCGACTTTGGTGGCTTCATGGGTGTGCAAAAAGCACCTTCCCCCGTAACATGGCTACAGCCTTCCTTCATTCAGTGTGGAAATCGGAAATCTCCATATTTCCGTGGGGGGCGCGTGCATTGAGGCAATCGGCGCGTTCCACTCAGAGCTCTCGGAGGAGGCCACATTGGAAACATTAAGGTTGGCGGTTTAACGATGAATTCGTGGAGCCTGTCCAGCAAATCGGTTGGTGAGAGGTGAAAGGTTATTTGCTGGGCCATAGCATGTAGTAGTAGTTTTATATCGCTTCTGTATTGATTTGAAAGCTGTCTTGGCTACGTATCATGGTTACGTCAACCCCAAACGTCACAGAACCCTCGTTGGCAGAAGATTCGCATCCTTCCGCCCCAGGGCGGCGGCGCGGACGGCGGCACCGGAGGCTCCGGCGATTCCGGGCAGCCAGGCCCGACGCACTCAGCGGCGAAGGTCGGCGACGTGATCGCGTCCGTGTCAAGGGCGCATAACCAGGACCTTGTCATCCTTATCAGTGTTTTTTTGTGGTGGAGTAGTGTTTGGAGATTGTTTTCCCAAAATTGGTTTAAGGGAACATCTACAGAGAACCCCTATTTTTTGATGTTTTCAGGGTGAAAGCCGTAGATGTTCCCTTCAACCAATTCTGGGAGGTTTCGACCCTTGTGAATCACAAGGAGGATTGTTGGGGGTCGTCCCACGGGACAGTGGCAGGAGCCCTAGATCGATGCGGAGACGTGAGCCGGAGGGTGCATCGCAGGTGTATTCCATAATCATTTTGCTATTGCAAGCTGTATTTCAATCCCAGAAGAAGAGTTTTGTATGTCAAAAGGGCTTGCCACGTGCCACCTGCAGGCCGGCTCTGTTTATTCCAAAGCCAAGGAGGTGCCAAGGACTGCCATGGATTTGAGGAGTTCCAGCTGGTCAAAGCAATCTTGCACCACATAGAATGCACAAACATCAAAATAAGAGCGCGATGGTATGTGTGTGTGTGCTTTGCCTAACTGGTGGGCTTTCATGACGCAGGGAATGGACACAAAGTGGGTTGTGAAAGCTGCACCCATCCAATCCTGCCAGCAGTTTTCTGCCGCGAGTCCAAGCCAACTGGTCCACTTGTACCAGTTGGTGTTTTAAGGAGCTTGGAGTCGGTTTCAGCACGTGTGGTGTGACATCGGTTTAGCCAGGACCCCATAGTGCTCCACGTAGTTGCTGAGCGGAATCTCCAGTAAATAGCACCCTTTTCCATCGCAAATCACTGAGCTGCTTAACTTTAGCCACAACATGCACCTCACAAGTGTTTAACTCTATCTATTATTATCTATTTAACTCTAGATAAATCTATATATATATAGATAATGTCACATCATCTCTTCCTTGTGTGATTTGCATGAGAAGGACCGAAATTGCGCGAGTAGCAAAGCCACTCGCTGACTTGTCACACGCTGAGACACGCCCAGAGAAAGGTGCACGGCATTGCAAGATGAGTGCCCTAGGGCTTTTGGGGAAGGGGGAACTTTAGGTCTATGAAAACCATATCAGACCCATATTTGCTTAATGACTGCTTTCATACATCATGTGTTGATGAGAACCTTCGCCCCTCCCAAAATCCATAGGACATAGGAATGTCAAGAGGACGAACATAAGTCGATAAGCATAGGACAGCGACATATATTTGCAAAGAAAGCCACCCTTTGTGACAGCAAAAGTGGAAGTGTGAAAGAACTGCTCATTTTATAGCTGGCAACATTCATGGCTTGAATTATGTTGGACGATATTCAAAGTTGTAACTGTATGTGGTAGAACTATGTAAAAATCCAACAAGGTTGTGAGCAACATATAAGAGAACACACACATACAATCAAGCAACTTGCATGTCAGTTCAATTTTTCTGGGGAGCCTTGGGGTCATTCATCATTCATTGCTTCGTGAGTTCATTGTAGAGGCAACAGGTTTCAACGATGCCTCCTGACAACCCTTGAAGCATCCACGCATCAACCACCTGATGATATGTCAAAATCATACTAATTATGTCAAGTGCTGTTTATTGTAGACATGCTAAAGTACTCGTGTTGTTGTTTTTTGTTTTTCCGTAACTTCTGTGTGCCCGATGTTTCTCCCTTCGTCCATATCCCTTGTGGTCGGTATCAGTATCAACTTTCTCCGTAGGCTTTTGGCTCCAGCCATGGGCGCAGCTGCCAGCGCCGCATCGCGTCGTGCAGCAGAGGCCTTGGCCCAGCGCTGGGCGTTCCTCGTGGCCGAGCAAGGCGACGCGGAGGAACTGCAGGCGCTGGGGGGGAGGAGGTGACCTGGTCTTAGGTGGATTGAGTTCGCATGAGGCCGGACTTTTGCTTCACTGATTGGTTTTTGGATGTCTTTGAGGTGTTTATAGATCGATCACTGCGAGGCCCTGGCAGATGAGCTGCACACTCAGACCAATGGCCAGGTTGTTGCTTGGCACAAGAGGGTTCAGTGGATCTGAAGAATTTGCCGATAGAAATATGAAATTTAGAACCACTGAACCGAGTGGAGCACAGACTGAACCGATAGAATATGAATTCTTCAGTGGATCTGTTTGGCAATTTAAGTCTCGTCCGAGTTGCTCTCCACGAAATGAACGCCCTAGCAGAATCCCAGACTAGGGCGCCCGTGCTTACATCCGCTTCGTTTCAGTAAGACCTGGCGTATCCCAAGATGTCACGACTCGTGGAGTTCCACCAGAATCAGGTTCCTTTGCTCCGTCGGGTGCTGAGCGGGCCTGACCTGGGCTTGTCATGGGGCACTTGGCGCTGGCTGAAGAGGTCGAAGGAGCTTTGGAGTCACAATGTTTGGAGTCCAATTGGTTTAGACAGTCCTCCGTCGGTTGAATTAGCTTGGGAAGAAGACTTGCCAAAGATGTTGATTATTAATAGCGTGGTGTGAACTTCAATCCTCCAACTGTCGGCCCAGATGCACTTAGCTTAGCAGAAGGTCCTCAATCCCAAGTCTATGGTTAGATGATGTTGGGTTGACCAGTGAAGATGATGATGGATTAGACCGAGAGAGGCCCTTCCAGCGCGGCAACGAAGCAGCTTAGATGCACCAGGCAGGTCTACTCCGAAGGAAGGCAGCTTAAGCAAAGCGCAGCCGAGTTCCACTTGTCTCAAACAGAAGCCACCATGAGTTGGGAGCTCCAGGGTTGTTGCTGCCCATTAGCCGTTTACACTGCGACATTGGTGGCCGCCCGAGCCACAGTGACCCGAAACCTGTCCATCCAGGAGGATGAGGGTCAGTCGTGGCTGCAGCCACCACTGACCTCACTGGAGTTGGATGGGCTCTTGTGCGCACTGCAGCTGGCGCGCCCCGAGCTGAGGGAGGTTTTGCTGGAGCTGGCTGATCCTCGGTGATATGGCAGCCAGGTGGTTGAGAGACTATTGAATATACAGGTCAAGGAATGGTGTATGCACAAGTCCTTGGTTTTGAAATGTTGAAAACTAACGTCCTACTGAGATTTTTGATTAAAAGGAAACATAAAGAAAGCCATCGTCCTCCCTATTCTGGGAAGTGGTCACTGGCATGCGAAGGCCGCAGAAATCCATCCAACTAGTACCACACAATTCAAACGGATCAACATGAATCAACAAAAATACAGAAACATGCTTTGCAAGATTCATCACATTCAGTAGTGAATGATTGGGTATTGGCACATTTCATAATCTGTTTCGACACACAAACAAGCCTTGTATAGTGTTATCATGGGTATTCTCCGAGCGGTATTGGTATAACCTGGTCGTTCTTTTTGCCTGGCGCACCTGCTGAGGATCCTTACCCTGGCGCCCCACGGCACTGTCCGAGCGTGCGACACCTGCCATGCCTGGCGTCCCTGTGGGTCCAGCAGACCGTCTCAGCGCTGCGCGTGCACCGCGTGGCATCGGCGGAACCACAGTGGCAAGCTGCCAAGGCGAGGTGTGGCAAGGCTTCCACTGTGGCAAGGCCAATTTGGTGGGACTTTGTGTATGAACTCTATAGGTGTTCGTTTGGCTTTGTGCGATTCTGGAGTACGGAAGACTCAGAACAACGTACTGTAACATAGACATCACACCCAGCTTCAATCCATACGACAGGAGTTGGCCTATTTTCACCGACATCAGCTTCCATTAGTCGATCCTCGGCCAGCTGCCATGTGTGGCTTGCAGCAACGACACCTGCGAGAGCTATTGCACCGCCACAAAGCTTGGCTACAGGACACGTTGGACGTGGTTTCTTAGGTTCGGCAGGCCACAGGTAGAGGGAAATCTTGCTTGGTGAAAGAGGTCGTTCGGGGAATAGACATCACCGATGTGTGGTGGAACTGATCATGCAATCAGACACCCTGTGAGAAGATGAGTTTCGGATACATACTTTTCAGGAGCCGTTGAGCCAGGCGGTTGCCAACTGGGATGCCTGGGCAAGTTGCTAGACTTGGCAGGAGGGTTGGAGCAGTATGCTATAGCCTAGAGTGATTTTCAGGATAGCTGGTACAAACCCATGGACCAGTTCACTGGAATCCATCCAAACCATTGCATGGCAATGCGGCAATGTGCCTGTCGAAGGAGTCTGTCTATGATGAGGTGCGGGAGGGCGCCGCGGTGGCAAAAACAAAGCCACTGGCAGTCCCAGGTCCAAGCACTTCTGCACTCTAGGAAAAAAGAATTGTGATTCACCATGCATGTGTGAAAGAATGTGGCCTGCCATGTGCTACGTTCGGATTGTCAATATGTACAATATGCCGCACGAGATTTTAAACTACGATGTCCCCAGTTAGCACATCCACGGGCGTGGCCCGGCTGTCGCTGCGTATGAAGTCGAGCAAGTCCAAGGAGAGGAGTTCATTCTGCTACTGACAATCATGTGCGTTTTCGTTTTGCTTTTTCTTGCTACACACCCGGCCCTAGTTGTAGTGGACTAAAGTGATTTGTTTTATTCGTTGATACGTGTAACGCATCCATGTGTCACAATTGATATTTCAGTTATTTTACATTATTCTAGACTCACTACATCTCACTACTGCTAGGCTTGACCCTGTTTGTGTTCTAATGCATTGCTTCCGCGCCGTATGAGCTTCCAAGTGTTTGACAGATTCAACTCACGGTCATTTTGAGTGAGGTGTGCTGAACGGGAAGAAGGGGTAGTATTCCTGTACTTGGCATGTTCCTGGAAAGGGGAAGGGCCCGGATTGGCACGTGCACAGAATGGATCAATCCAAACAGTCTCGAACCAAACCATGTACTTCTTCCCCCGGAAAAGTCCAAGCTCGACCAAGGTTCCTTCCGGCCTTCTTGTTGGCAGTTCTACAGTGAGATTGCCCGGCCCTGCAGTACCAGAGCCCGCTGCTTTGCAGAAGTCTACCCACCGCAGGAGCTCCGACCTCGACCGCTCCGTTCCCGTCTTGTCCAACACCCCCCCGCCGCGTCTCGACTCTCAAGGAGGTGACGGCCGTGGTCAGCCATTGTTGGAAAGATGCCTTTGAAGACTTGCTTTTGGCGCTGGAGCAGCATGTGACGAAGAGCAACTTGCTTCACAGGCACACACTTCACAAGCTTTGAAGAAAGTATACGAAAGTGCTTCTTTATGATCGTTTGATGTCCGACCGTTTTGCCGGACTGTATATCTATGAATATGACAAGGCTAATATTTGCTCAAGGGAAGGCTTGCACCAGCACCGCTGCTACCATCCAAGGCATTGAAGGCAACAGCGGCTACTGGTGGCCAAGCTAACGAATAAGGGTTCGTTTGGGTGATGAGGGCCCTGGCCGACTAGCAGGATCCTGCAGGATCTATCGGAAGGCAGAGATTAAGCTGATGTGTTTGGTGAGATGTGCTCCTTGGGGCTTAAGCTGTTTTCACCCATGTTGAATCCCTTGAGTTGAACAAAGCCAAGCCATTTTGGGTGTTCTTGGCGATGAGGAATCCCGTGTACTGGGGTGAACACGTTGAGCGGGGCGAAGGATCAGAAGAATGGCGTTGTCTGTGGCCTATGGGGGGATGGTCATCGGCCTTGGTTCCGATCCACACCCAATTTCCATCCTGCAAGACGTCCTTAGACTGTAGGTTTGTACTGAGGATCTCTAGATTTGGGGTTGGCCTATCAGAAGGCCGCACGTACTTCTCATCAGTGCACAGCACGTGCATTTGCCCTTGTCCGAGTCTCCTTCTTAGGATGGCCAATCATGCATCCAATGGCCCAAGTGAGCAGAGATTTTTTATGACATGAAAGGGTTTATACAAGATGTAACCTTCAAAAGGCTGGCGTAGGCAACCTGCTTGGGGACGTAGGCGGTCGTAGGCATTGTATGGTCTATATAATGTTTGTCGTAGGCGTTTGCCGTAGGCGACCGAATCGACCGAAATAGCATGCCTTGAAGTCACCCAGCTTGCGTTTCTGATTCAAACTAGAATTGACCGTGTTTTTTTTTGTCTCAGTTTCTTGTAGCAGATGTCTTTCATCTCATAGTCTGAGACATGAACCAGGGCAGTTTGCAAGAGCACCTAGAATGACCACCAGAGAAAAACGCAAGACATTGCAATCCAACCACAATGCCAAGACTACCCGGGAGGTTAGAAAGGCCACTGTTTCTGTGTAAGAGGTGAGAACTCCCAACAATGTCCCAAACAACTCTTTTGTATTGTTTTCCTGGGGACATTTTCCGTAGGCTCACCGTAGGTTCTCCGTACAGGCACCGTAGGCGAAAATGCAATTGTTTATCCTTCCCCTATGTCCGCTTGCCTATAGTACTCTCAAATAGATGTTAACACCTGCTGTTCTGAGAAGTATTCCCAATGTCGAAGACATGGGGAGACTATACGCGTCAGTGCACGTCCCGCGTGGTATCGTCCCTCGCCTCCGAAGTCATGTCCAAAACTCATGATGAGCGTGAAGTCGTTGCTTGCTTGTCAGTCTTCCGTTGTGAAGCACATAGCCAATGAAACCAACTTGCCCATCGTAGAGTGCCGAGCTCATCATCTGAAAGATAAAGGGATATAAAGGGTCAGCTGCTGCGTAAACGTTTCCACTCGCAAGAACTGCATGGTACCGTAGGATACCGTAGGCAAGTTGGAACAGTAATGCTCCAAAACCTCACGTTCGTAGATTTCCCGTAGGCGATGTGGAATAAGCCATGTCTGTCGTAGGCTTTCACTGTGGAAACGTAGCCAAACCGTAGGGTTCTACGTAGGCACCCAAGGATGATAACACCACCACGTCTTTAAAAAAATCCCTGCTCAAGTAACAAGACCTGCGCTCTTCTCCAGGTTAAGCCTTCTTGCTTTAACGCATTCCAATGAGAGCATCACTACCGCGCAGCATCGCAGCCTACTGGCAGCCTTTGATTCATGTGATGAGCTCGTAGTCGCTTCTTGGTATATTGTGAAGGGATGCTTCAAGCATCTTCAAGCTGATTTTAGAAAGATCAAACTGGACATAAGTCATAACTGCGCTTGGGCCTGGGTTTTGCACCGTTCAATGGGGGCAGGTAGCCTCGCATAGACAGCGCCACCCACTCGTTTTGTGGCTCAGGTTTGGGACACGGATGGGAGGTGGCCAACAAGGTGCGATGATGTTCTTCCAGCATGAGCTTTCATTGAGATAGGTTGAGATACTTTGGGGGCTTCCCTGTTGCCCCAAAGCACCAAAGTTAATTGCCTATAGTACTATAGTGAACCCAATATAAATTAATTGCCTATTAATACATAGTTAAAGTTAATTGCCTATTACTGTAATACATAATTGCCTATAGTGAACCCAATAGAAAGTGTACAGGACAAACTTGTTTTATAGTTCTGTGCGCACTTGCTGGCATGGAACTGGTTACCTGTCGGGAATTGAGGCAGCAGTCTATCAACCATTCGTATCACAGATTTTCCGCACTAATTAGTTTGTTCTCTTTTGAAGCCTTAATCATGCTCTATGCTTGCCAGGCTTTGGTGTTTGTATGAGCTGACGCTTGCGGATGAGCAAAAGGAGGTCCAGGTGGGCGACAGATTTCTTGGGGTCAACAGAGTTAAACCTTCAACCTCCTTTAATCCAAACATCAAGGTGGAGAATGGTGCAGAATTGTGCACATATATATATATATATACATACATACAAGTGTATATGCAGCGTATGTATACAATGAGTACTTATAAGTGAGTATGTATATATAAAATATATATACCACCTGCCATCTACACTTAAACCCATGGATCTTTTCGCCAAAAACGCGGCAGGTGACTTCGCTACAAGGTCTTCTGGGCTCCGACCGGACCGTGGCCGCCTCGCGGGCCGCGGCGCGGCGGCTGCTGGCCGCGCGGCCGGGAGAAGGTCGATCCGTGCCGCAGGCACGGCCGGAGGAGCTGGGGCAAGTGAAGGCCTGGCTGGGTGAGAAGGGCCAGGAGAAGATGGATGCTTGGGATGAGAAGATGGACATTCAGTTAAGAAAATTCGGGTTAGTTTATAGTTAGTTATATTATTGAATTAGTTATTGATCGGTTTTTCTTGCCGGTTAGGTAAGTAAGCAGTGGGTACGGAAGATGAGTCGAGGAGGGCTCGTTCTCCAAATTCAAAGTTGGTTTGCTTTCCTAGACAACAACTGTAACTAAACGACCTCGATGGCTCATGAAGACCAAGATACAGTGGACATCTGAAGACAGGGACCTTTTGCTTGATCTATGTGAAATGACCCAACTCGGCAAAAGCCAGAAGATGGTTGGAAGTCTGGCAGTGACATTTGTTATATTATGTGAACACCTGCACTCACAATAATTAGTCAGCTTTCTCCCACATCTTCCACTTGAACACTGGACTCAGTGTCCCCAGTCCTGTCTCACCGAGGAACGTTCTTTGTTGGCCTTAGCCGGACCCCTCTTTTGCCTTGGGGACACCGTGCCACCAGCGGTTCCCGCTGCACCGGTGGGCGCTCAGTGTCATCAACTGATCTCCGAGATTTGTGCAGCGTTGCCCTCGGGGCAGTGCTTGGTGATCGAAGCACCCCCTGGGCACCGGAGGTGCCCCGGCTCAAGGGATTTGGACTGGGCCAGCGTTGAATGGGATTTGGAGTTGATGGACATGTCTTATTGCATTGTGTGCCATGTCGGTTCAATACTGCCCGCATGCGGTCCACACATACAATACTTGGGGTTGTCACGCACGCAGGAGGCATACAACACCAAAGCCAGAAGGAAGGCCCCAATTCCTGAGAGCTTGGGACAAGGCTGGCTCGTGGAGGTCAGCATCCGCCTCCTTGTTGTGGTGGTTCAAAGCAAACCTCGTTCGACGTGGCGCATGGCGTCATTGCAAGGTTCCCATCACAAAGATAACCAAAAACTGGACTCCCAGATCATCTAACCAAAACTGGACTCCGGTGTGAGGAGCCACCTGGCTCGGCTTCTGGTCACCCAGCTTTGCCGCATGCGACGGATGCTGCCAGTGCACATGAGATGTGCTGTGCTCACTGAGCTGAAGGACGAATCGAAGGATTTCATGAAGCTTTGGCCACTGAGATATGCTGAGATGCACATGGTTTGAAGAGTTTTTGGTTGGATTGCTCAGCGACCGAATTGACCAATTCTATGGTTGACTGATTCACTGGGACGAGCGGCAATCCATGATGCAGACCATTAGAGTCATTAGAGAAGAGGTTTGCATAGTTTCCGCATGTTGCATGATCTCTTCCATGGGAGCGCCTGGAACGACGCCTTAGTTCTCTCAAATCCTCGAAAGCCAGTGAAGAGTGGTTTACGCTGCGCATGTCTTGCTTCTTCAATTCAACAACATGTTCCCTTGTTACTAGTAGCGATGCGCTTGTTACTAGTAGCTTCTTGCTACTAGTGGGAATGCCCTTTGTTCCTAGTACCGATGCACCTCTTCCATCCTCTTCCTATTTCTTCCAAGAGCTTTGTTCCCATTGGCATCGCTACCTTGTTCAGCGCTTGAGGCTCGGTGCCGTCGGGTGCGGAACGTGCTCCGACTCGCTGCCGTTGGGCGCCATCGTCGTCCTCGAAGCATTGGAAGAAGTCGAAGGGTCTCAAGTGGGTGAGATCTGCACTTGGGCCACCCGATGGCTCGAAGGCGCTGCCTTTTTGTTGCTGCCAGCCTTTTTTCTATTTTGGAGCTGCGTTGTTTTTTACAGGCTCATGTTATAGCATGCATGTGGGTTGATGTCATCCAACTTCCTTCCATCTCCCTTCCCTACCAAACAAAGCGCTCATTGACACAAAAACGTTCCAATCATTCACACAACGCACAGAACCCTCTCATATCCAACCCATTTTCTGCTGTGCCTTCGCACTGCACACAACACACCCACGCAATGGAAGACTCATAACCTTTGGGCTTGTGCGCGCATGAACCCACAAATATCCAACACTGATTGTTAAACCAAAGTCACTTGAATGGGGTAGGTGTTCGTCACTTTTTTTCTTCGTCGCGCGCACTGGCAATTGGTGTCTTTTTTGTGGGTTTCCGCCTCAAACCAAACATTGTTTGGATCAACTGACCACTCAGATTCAGAGCATTTGGTTGTGGGCCAGTGGACGAAGGTTACAGAAGTGGCATTAACAATTCACAAGGCAACCCCAGTCCCAGTCTTCAGCATATCAAAACGATTCACAAGGGCTCACAACCCTTCAAAACCCTAAAAAGTTTGCAGTTTATCAAAGTTCAGGACATGATGGAGTTCCGTTTCAAACAGAACCACCCCACGGTCCTTTGGGTTTGTGTAGTGGGTCCAAGTCTTCACCATAGGAGGTTGTATACTCCGCAGGTAGGGCATCGTGGAATCCTGTATGGGGACTTGGTTTTTGCAAGAAACCAAAGTGGCCGTCCGAGAGGTGGAAATTCGATGATCATCACCACCAGGTGTGACAACGAGTTTCAGTGCCTCAGATGAGACGGAACGGCATGGAGACTATTTGGGAACTTTCTCCAGTTCAAGCTCAACAAATAATGAAACTCAAAAGGCAACATGGTCATGTCTCCATATTTCTTAGATATGTCTACCTGATTGTTTAAGCTCACAACTGCACACCCACCTATGGTAGCCTGCCTGGGATGGACACATTGTTGTGTCTTGTGAGGGGGACGCCTTCCAGCGGCTTCTTTAATGCGAACCCTTTTTGATCCTGTTTTCAGATGTTTGATTGGCGTTTGGATTTGCAACAAGGTTGGAAATTTCATGCCAAGGGCTGATATAAGCGGCGTAGTTGTTGCTTTCTATGCTCCACGCTCTTGCTTAGGTCAGTTATGTAATTAAACGACTGAATTGGTGGTGCACTCCATCTCACTTACAGTCTGACTTACATTCAAACATGAAAGTGTTGACATATGTTAACTTACAGGACACTACTAGGAGCAAAGGGCATCGCTAGTAGGAGCAAGGACGTGCTCTTGGAGCAAGAAGCTACTAGGGGCTCCTGGCATCGCTACTAGGAGCAAGGACGCTACCAGTAGCTTTTGTTTCCTCTACAGGGCTCGTGCGTTGATCCACTTCCACGTCTTCCGCCCTGCGGCGCCCTGCGGCGCCTGCGGCGCCCTGCAGCCGAGGCCCTGCTCGGACGTCGTCAGCCTTGACCTCGCTCAGCTCACCCGGGACACCTGGCGGGAGGCCTCGTTGCCGCAGTGGCCCAGTGCCCTACGAGTGGTTCTCAAGGATGGCAGACTCCAGCTGAAGGCAGGCTCAGGTTCTGGAAGCGGGGAAGCAAAAAAGAGTGAATCAGGATGTGGAAGAATTCAAGAGGTTAAGTTTAGGCATGCGTAGAAAAAGCTAAGAACTTGCACATCGGTATTTCAACATGTTATCCAAGTTCAACCAAGGAAGGGTTTGCTTCATCCATGTATCGGTCACCGGTCGCCAGGCTTCGAGTGTGCTTGGGCGTCCGGTCTCTGTGGACTGGGGCCTCCCCAGCTACATCCAGCTGCTACGCTCCATGGACCTTGGACCGGAAACCACCTGCTTCGCCGTCTACGAAAGTGCCCTGGAACGGCTCAGACTCAGCGCGCAGGAGCAGGTGGAGCTGGAGGAACTTGCCTTGAAGTTGTGTTGTCAAGGGAAGTCCGTGGCTCCTTGGAGCAGACTTTGGGCAGGAAAGTTGGGGAGCGTTTCTATGGGTTTTGTTTTTTGGTTTAGTCTATTTGTGTGGGGGGGTGGGGGGGTCAGTCAGTTCTTTTCATGGCCCAGAGACGGCACATGCATTGACATTCCTTCAGGTTCTGGTTTCAGGACAAATCATGCGGTTGGATGTTTGGTGAGAGGCACGTGTGCCTCTGCTGATGGCGACCTGAAGCTAGCAGGCCCAACTAGCTGTATTAAAGAAAACACATTCATTGGAAAGATTTAAAATAAAGTCAAAAAAGTCAATCCCAAAAGTCAAAGTCAAAAAAGTCAAATCAGCAAATTTCAGAAAGTCAAAAAATGTCAATTTGCCCAGATCCGACCTTTTTTCGACATGTTTTTTGATTTTTTTGACTTTTTTGACATTTTTTCGACATGTTTTTTTACTTTTTTCGACTTTTTTAAAAACTTTTTTTTTGACTTTTTCGAGCTGTGGTCTACGGTTGTCATTTTTTTTGACTTGTTTTTGACTTTTCTTGACTCCAGTAATCCGCCAAGGCGTGGAACCATAGTTTTGACGTTTTTTCG